TCTTTCAGAATTATCTTCGTCTGGATCAACATTAATTTGGTTATAAATGACACCACCAAAAGTGTTGTTATTCTCGCTCTGTATTATGTAACACAAATTCTCAATTTGATTGATTTTCTCTCCAAAAACTGATGTGTTTGGCGAGAAGTCGTCTTTCTCACTATCAAAAATTACTTTCTCGAATTTAAGACCACTCCACATCTCTATCTTTTGTTGCTCGACTTTACTGATATATCGAGGTAGAAGTGATGCTAATTGTTTGTCTGTAATCTTGGGTGCTATCTTTGTTTGGCTCGACGTAGTCAACGCGTGCATTTGAACTGCAAATCTCTCTTCTTCTACACTTTTGAGGAGACAATACACTTTGTTGTATTCATCTGCTTTGTTTTCACTTCGACTCAATTCAGAAGTAAATTGATCTGAAAGATCGACAAGAGACTTGTTCACAGTTTTGAGTGCACTTTGGGAAGCTTCCCAAAGTGCAACATTCTCTGAAGCCTTGTCAAAAAGTGATTGAGCAGCTTTATAACGAACTTCTAATGGCTGGCTTTTGTCTGAAGCTAAAGAGAAAGAAGCGTTATATTTGTTGTAAGCATTTAATTTGGTCTTGGCTTCATTACAAAGAGCAATAATTCTGTCAAGAGAGCTCTCCATTAAATTGTTTGAAAGTTTAAAATAAACAATTTAAATATGGTTTTCTATTTTATTTATTTTTAATTTAAATATAAAGTGTGTGTTTTAAAAAACATGAATTTAAAACGTGATTATTGTTTAACTTTAATTGTGTTATGTTATAATTATCGATGCAATCATCTAATTGTCGATAACTTTACATATTTATATTTACAGGTATAACTCAATTAAATATATAATACAATAAATAGAATTATTGTAATATTATTAATAAAATAAAAATATCGAGTTTTTTGTGATGTTTGCCAAATAATCAATTATTATTTCGATTATTTATCAAAAAATTAACACTTCAGTTATAAAAATATAATCAATTTTTGTTTGTCATGTTTTCAAAATTAACGTATTTAGTTGTCCAACAATATATACTATATTAAACTTATAAAATAATATTTCAGTATGAGTCATAATGACATATTAATATATTGGTTTTTTTAATATGTCATTATGATAAATTAAACATTTTAACAATTGTTTAAATTAATATTTTTTTATAATAAACAATAATATTAATATTTTGTAAATATTAATATATATATTAAGTTGTTGATAATTGAAACAG